CGTTTTTTTAAAAAAAATCTTATGTACAGATAAAGCATTTATATGTATGTATGTGTGACAACAATTTGCAAAATAAGAGTGTTCTAACTAAAGTTTCTAGTTACTTAGAAAGCCTCTTGTTTCAGAATTATTTAAAAAAATTGACTTGTATAGACAAGTAATAATAGTATCTATTTCTCCATTATAGTTTCAGGAGACTTAGTCAAATACATCCTTCTTTCCTTCCAGAATATTTCCCAAATTGTTGCTTTTGGAAGTAAAATAACTGCCTATTGTCATATTTTTTTTTCATGACCATAAAATGGGTATTAATTAGATTCAAATTTCCTAGGAATGACATTTATGATAGAGTAATAGTTATTCTCTTTTTCTTTCTGATTGTTCACCTGTCAGTCAGTAGTTATACTATTAAGAATTCTAAATTATCAGTATTTATTTCAGTAATCAGAGCCAATGAAAGATGCAAGATTAATTACAAATATTGTTATCAAAATTCAAAAAACAAATTGTGAATATTGTAAATACTTTTGATAGTTTTATAAATACTTTGCTAACAGAATTTCAAGATTCAACTTATTTCACCTCACGAGAGTTTCCAATCTTCAAATTCCAGGTTTCTCACTGAAGTACTTCTACCTATAGTAAAGACTGAATACCAGCTGCTTTATGTGTACCATCTTGTGGGACCATTTTTACAAAGATTTCAACAGGAGAGAACGAGATGCATGATAGAGGTAAATTATGATCTAATATAACATAAACCATAAGTTCCGAAGGATCTAATTTTCTTGCCCAGTGTTTTTCAAAATGCAGGTCATAGCTGTTAGTAGTCATTTTGGTATAGTAGTCAAATCAGTTTTTATACTTGAAAGTCTTTTTGGGTAACCTACTATGTTTTTGTGTTTAGTGTGGGATGTGTTGAACTATAGATAATGGAGGAAATATCCTATCATTGAAGTTGCAAAGAAAAGGCTGCAGAAGTAAATTTGAAAATTTATGGAGAAATTAAAGAAAACCATGGGACTAAAAGAAGTTGGTTACTTGTAAGAAAATGGATAGAATAAGAAAATCCACCAGGAACAGACCCTTAGAAGAAAGCCTTAACTGCTAAATGGAATGAAGAAGACAAGCCTACAGATTCCTGAAGGACAGAAAAGGGTCTTTTAAGATAAATAACTAAGTTATGAAGGGAAATCCTAGTGATGACCTAGCAGTGAGCATTATAGCATTATAGGTTCTGTTATAAATGCAGGCTGCATCATACCTCCCATGTGTGTAGAGGTACATGATCTTCAGCAAATATTTTGTCCCCATGTGCTGGTGTTGTCATGGAGTTCAGCTGCATCATGCTTGATTAGTTCACCAGTTTGGCCATTTGAATAACTTTATATTGTTATTGAATAGATTGGTGTGGCATTTTATGATATGCTACTGAATGTCGACCAGTGTAGTACCCATTTGAACTATATGGATCCCATTTGTGACTTCCTGTATCATATGAAGTATATGTTTACTGGTGACAGCGTGAAAGAGCAAGTAAGTTCAATTTACTTATTTTTAACATTTGGCTTACAAGATTGAACACAAAGGGATAAACTTTTTTGTTTAATATTTGGTTAGCTTTTTCTTTTCTGACAGTAGGGCTGATACCAGGCCTATTTAAGGCTATAAGGGGGTCTTTTTTTAGATATAGTAACAAGTAATGTAATTTCTCTCACTCTTCCCCTTCAATATTTGCAACAAACACCTAAAAAAAAAAAAAGACCCCTAGGAAGTTAGTTGTAATCTCATTAGGACAGCCTAGGTTTAGTTTAAAAAGTAAAACAGAAGTAAAGGAGTCCCCACCTCCCTCACTGATCGGGGCATACCCTGGACATTGGTAATAAAGACATCAACTCCTTAAGAGTATTTAAAGGATGTAGAAATGCTTAATTTGAAGAAAAATTCCTAGGGAATTGTTCAAGTCCTCACTATTTTAAGGGCTTCCACATAGAATAAGTATTGGATGTGTTCTGAATCACATAAAACTGGTTAGAATTCTACTAAAGTTAAAGAATTCTACTGAACTCAACATGAAGAGGCATTTCTTGCTAGAGGTGGCTAAAGGGGGAATGACCTCCTTGGATCATACATGAGTTTTCTGTGGGTGGAAATAAGGCCAGTGAATGGAGTCCATACCTCTCATCCCTTTTTATTTTTTCATAATTTCTTAGAATTTAGTTTGTTTTTTGTCAGTCGTGGGGGCTTAAACTCTGGTCTTGGGTGCTATCCCTCAGCTCTTCAGCTCAAGGCGAGCGCTCTACTGCTTGAGCCACAGCACCACTTCCAGTTTAGTAGTGGTTTATTGGAGATAAGAGTCTCATGGACTTTCCTGCCCAGGCTGGCTTTGAACTGTGATCCTCAGATCTCAGCCTCCTGAGTAGCTATAGGATTATAGGAGTGAACCACTGGTGTCCAGCTAGAATTTAGATTTGTTGGATTTTTTAATTTATTAATTGTACAATGTAAACCAGTTTCATTATATTCCAATCATGCATAAAATGTCCTTGGTCCTATTTGCCCTCTCTGTTGGAAAGGAAGGCAGATTGATTTATAACCATATGAATTCTAGTGTATGGGATTCTTTTTTTGGAGCTGGAGATAATGAGTAGTTGACTCCTTTATGCTGCAGCTGAAATGTCAAAGAAAGAGAACATTTGTGTCTGCTTTTGTTAACCCAGAACATAGGGAGAACCAATAAAAAGGCTTCTGTTTAAAACATTTTTTTTTATATTTGGGAGTAAGAAAATTTGACATGTAAGAATATAAAAATGGAAAAGTTATTCAGCTGAGCTTTCCTCCTAAGGTCAAAGGGCATTTGAGTATATAACTAAGAAAACGGTAAAAAACATATTTCCTTAAAATATTTTAAGACTATATCTAATTTTGGTTAGCTTGAACTCCAAGTATAAATCAACAAAAAAAATTAGATTCGTAGGTAAATATTCAAACATGAGTTTTTCATATGACTTTAAAATACAGTGATGTTTCATGCTTCTGTAAAGGTGGCATTTTAAAAGAATGAGTTGTTTGATATATAAAATTTCCAATATAAACTGTAGCTATTTATTAGGAATACACACACACATATACACGCATATAGCTTTTGGTAGTGGGATGGCTAGTTAGCTAGTAAATGATCAGTTCGTGTGTGTGTGTGTGTAAATGTAAATTTGGAGACACATATACACCTCACATGGCCACATACACTCATAAAATGTGTGAGATGGAAAAATCAGTATTCTTTCTCATGTAAGGAAAAAAAGTAATTACCTGTTTTTGTTAAAAACATCTACAGCAATGTCTTATCTCCCCCATTTCCCTCCCTAGTTTATTACTTTTTTAAAGGAGGGAAGTAGAAGTTCTCTGATTCAAATATTTCTTAATATGTTTCACCTCACAGGTAGAGAAGATCATCTGCAATTTAAAACCAGCTTTAAAACTTCGTCTTCGCTTCATCACGCACATCAGCAAGTTGGAGCCTGCTGCAGTGCCTCAGCCAGCTGTAAATAGCGGGTCTCCAGCACCTCAGTCTACTCAGGTGCCAGCGCCCTTGCCAGTGACTCAGTAAGGCTGGAATTACCATGGAGAAAATGGAAACTACAGCCATGTTTGCAAGTGGACTCAAATCTATTAAATCTGAACATGATTTGCTGTGATTCAGATTGTTTTATTTTTATTCAAATGGTGAATGTCTTGACACTTTATACTTCCCATCTCCCTATCATATTTTTGTCTCTAAGAGATCAAGTAAACTACATGTTGTTTATATTTGTAACAATTTACTAAGACTCCCCAGGAACTTAGAAGTATCTGTGCAAATAACTTAGTAGGCATTCAGTCATTCTTATTTTAACCATCATTTTGTTTTTTTGCTATTATGGCAAATTCTCTCTTCAGGTACAAAGTTGAAATACTCTTCAAATACATGTAAAAGAGTCATTGCAAATCCTTTTATACATAAATCTCCTTCAATACATCTTCAGGATAATAGAGTTTTTTGTTTTTGATGTTTTAATCAACAAAAAACTCTAGATTTCAATACAGTAGCAAACAGATTTCATATTCTTTTGTAAATAATTTGCAAATTTCCAAGTAAAGACTTCTAATGTTTCTACCAAGGTATATTTGGCAGTTTTTTAGCCTTTGCTTTGAATTTACTGTATTGTATGGAGTTGGAAACTACAAAAGGCAAATAACACATCTGAAAATATGTAAATCTGAAATAAATATAAGAAATGTGAAAATACACAAATTCTCATGCTTAAATGGTTGATTTTCCTATCATTGTTTTTAAAACTAAATTAATTGTGCCAGACTGAGGAGGTTCATGCCTGTAATCCTAGCTACCCAGGGGTCTGTGATCTGAAGTTTGCCATTTGAAGCCAACCTGAGCAGGAAATTCCATGAGGTTCTTAAGTTCAGTAAACTCTGGAAAGCTCAAGTGGAGCTGTGGCTTCACTGGTAGAGCACTAGCCTTAAGGGAAAACGAAAGCTCAGGGACAGCACCTGAATCCTGAGTTCAAGCCCTAAGACTAGCATTAAAAATAATAATAACTATAAATATATACAAGTAAACACACTGGATGTTAACCAAGGGGTTACAAATGAATTAGATGAAATGTGTAATAAACTAAACTATGGAGAGAGCACAAAAGATGTAATTCTTCAAAAAGACTGAGCCAAAACCCAACGAAGTAAGTGCCAGGAAATGGGTACTTGTAAGAAGGTAAAGTAGGGCCAAAGAGAGAGGGCTAGAAGAATGAAGAAGGGAAGAGTCTAGAGAATGCAGGCAAGAATGCATGGTATATACCACAGAATTGAGAAGTAAAGGGTGGGGTTGGGGGAGGGGGTAAAAGATGGAATCAGTCCAGATGCCCCTCAGTAGGTCAAGAAAATGTGGTATATATACATAATGGAAAATGATATTACCACATTTGTAAGGAAATGGAAAGATTTGGAAAAGTTTATATTAAGCAAAGTAAGCCAGACCCAAAGAAACATAGGCTATATGAGTTAAAATGCTGGGTTACAAGAGGAAAATGAGATGGCAGAGACTCTTCTAACATGCATGTGGTTGTTAATGTAGTACAACAAAAATTCTTCCATGGAGCTCACTTCATTACAGAACTCTGTTGAGTTCCTGTATAAAGTAGATAAAGAGAAGAGTTTGCTTTGCTTCTTTTGATTGTTAGTTTCTTTTCGTGTGTGTGTGTGTGTGTGTGTGTGTGTGTGTGTTTTCCATTTTTCTTAGTATGTTTCAGAGTTTTTAGGGTGCTTAGGGATTTTAGCTGAGATACTGTAACTGCACCAACTAAAGGGTAAGACATTTTGATGCCACAGATAATTTTTATTGAAATCCTAATACTGATTTAGCAGATCTTGCAAACAAAATAGCTTGAATTTGGGGATGAAGGAGTTTTGGTAAAAATATTTTCTATTTTCCATAAAGCTACCTCAATAACATCCATGTTTAAAATATCAATAATATCATGCTTAATGCTTAGAAAGTTTAAAATAGGGTCATCTAATATTAATGAACTTGAAGATTGCCTAAGCCTGTGATTATCCATTTTACAGATGAAAAAGAAAAAACAAAAAACAACCACCTTCTCCCGGGTTCTGCAATATTTTAGAGATGGTAGAGATGGCTATTCACAACCTCGACAAATATTTACAGTAAAGCAGTGTAGTGTATACATACATGCATGCATACATGTAGAGTGTTACATGTATTTAGAAAGGTGTAGACAATAAAATCTTATTATAAAAGAGTTTATTACAAAAATCATATATTTTGAACCATATGGACACATGGACACCACCCTCCCCCCCATGGGTATTTTTGTCACCTGTTAGAGGGGATGGGAGAACTTCTGTTACTGTATTTACTTAAATGCCACCATATTTTTAGTTGGAAATTAATTTGTGTTTTTTAAGGATAAATCCTATTCTAAAAGTGTTCTTATTTCAAAAGTTAAAATGTTCCTCTTGTAAATTTCACAGAAGAATTGATAAAATGTATACTCATATACTTGGAAAGATATTTTCAAAGAGAATAAATCTTTGAGAAGAACTGTGGCCTTCCACATTTACTTAGGCGGGTTAATGTAATTAATCCCAGGTTCATGATTTCCCTCCCGAGCCACCCCAAAACAAGCCTTTGTTATGGCTACTGCTGAGTTCACTGTTCGAGTTATGTCTTCTGACGTCTTCCCCAGGCATGGGTTTACTTCCATTATATCTAGTCCTGACAGTAATCCTACAACAACATAAAAAAGGATAATGATATAATTGATTTAAAAAAAAATAAGCGGCATGTTAACATCAGTACACAATGACTTCAAAAGTTATCTAGTAACTAAGGCCACCTAACTATTAAATCACTCAATGGAGTGTATCCGCCGGCCCTTGGTTTTCAGATCAAGGAGAAGTAAGTTCATGCTAACCAACTGTACATATCTGTATTGTCTCTACTTGTTACCTGTCTTGTAGATTTCTTCTGCGATGTAGAGCCCTTCCCTGAGAGACAGACCGCCCACCACAGGTGTGCCAGTCGCTGGTGTATAATATGGGTCCAGTCCATCCACATCAAAACTCAGGTGAATTGGCCTTGACTTTCTTTAAGAAGCAGGAAAATACTTCAGTTTAAAAATGACATTAAGGAACCTCCATACTACTTTCCAAAGTGGTTGAACAAGTTTACACTCCCACTAACAATGCAGTAAGGTTCCCTTCTGTCCACATCCCCTCTCCCCTATGACCCAGCAATCCCATTTTTGGGCATTTACCCGAATGATCACAAACAAGACCATACTAAAGCTACTAGCACCACTATGTTTATTGCAGCATTATTTACCATAGCTAAGATATAGAAGCAACCCAGATGCCCCTCAGTAGATGAATGGATCAAGAAAATGTGGTATATATACACAATGGAATTCTAGGCCTCCATCAGAAAGAATGGCATTGCCCCATTTGTTAGGAAATGGAAAGACTTGGAGAAAATCATATTAAGTGAAGTAAGCCAGGCCCAAAGAAACATAGGTCCCATGGTTTCCTTATTTGCAATAACTAGTATATGTCTGAGATAAGCAGAAAAGGTCAGATAAGTTGATATTAGGTGAAATGAACCCCAAGATAAGTATTCAAATGTTTTTTCTTTCATGCGATTGTTTCTAACATATTTATAAGATGTTTCTTTGTTGCTTTGTATGTCCCTCCCCCACAGTATAACCCCTGCTTTCACTGTATTTGATGTTGGTATAATTTGTGGAGGGGAAGGGAAAAAATAAATCGTTTAAATAGGGATACGGGTGGACCCATTGCAACAATGAGATGTACAAGTTGTTATGTCGAAAAATGAACTTTACAATTTTGGCGGCGGTGGCAGGGGGCGAGAGGAATGGGAAGGGAAGGAAGGGGAAACAGGAGAAGGCAACAATGCTTGATAAGAAATGTACTCATTATCTTGCCCATGTATTTGTAACCCCTCTGTACAGTATTTTCACAATAAAAAAATAAAAAATGATATTAAGTTTGATATTTAGTAAGTAAATACAACTCTTACCCTGCTTTATTTTAAAAAAGAAAATAGACCAGTAAAGTTCCAGGATTTTTTTAACAACTTTTTTAGTAACATTGACTAGTGTCAGCAAGCTTTTATGATACACACACAAAACACACATGCTCCTGTGAACATCATACCTTCCCAGGAGATAGCTGAGCGTTTCTTCCATCACCTTGCCAATTCCCAGTTTATCCACTTCAGTCATTGAAAAACATTTAATACCCAGAGTTTTCACAATGTAGCTAGAAGAGGAAAGATTAAGATAATCTACAATTAGGAAGTCTGTCTCTGCTCCCTACTGTTTCCTTTTAAAGAAGAGAGAAATTTGGAAAAAATATCAAATATTTAAGTTTTGTGTTTAAATGTACATCAACTATATAAATGTATATACATAACTGCTTATATACTTGTGGACACATGTATCTATATATACTATATACACTATATAGATAGTGTATATAGTGTATATATATACTATATACACTATATATACTGTATATAGTATATAGTATCTAGTATATATAGATATACTGTATACACTATATATATAGTGTGTGTGTATCTTTATATATACACACACACTATATATAGTAACTTGCTATTTAAGTTAATTCCCTTTTTTTGGCAGCACTGGGGTTTGAGCTTGGAGTCTGGCTTGCTCTGCAGAGACTGCCACTTGAGTTACACTTCTATCCCTTAAAATAATTTTCTTTGACAGATTTGGGCAGTAAAACATACCCAGCAGACAAAAGAACAGAACTGAAGGTAAATCACATCCAGGAATAAACTCACTGTTCCCCAGGGTCCACGTCTCTCAAGCCAATATACACGATGTCATTGGCAGATATGCAAGGAGTCACCCAGGAGAATCCAGGCACCGTGGGCATCTAAAATCGCAGTGTTTCCATTTAGATACACCTTTCTCTTAAGCAGAGCCTACACTTAACATTAAGGACACTGGCTGAATTGCATTTATCTTACATTTGGAGCCTAATTTTAAAGGAAATCACTTGCAAATAATATAAAATTGGAAAGAATGTCTGCCGCCTCTTATACCTTTCATTGCTTTGGCTTTAAAAAACCTACCCTGTAGCCAGGATCTACCTGGACACATTTTTGTGTCCTCTGCCCCATTTCTTCTGGGCCCTGATTTTTGAGGACTCTAATGTCAAAAAATGAGTGTATTTCTATGACTTCGCTTTCTAGTAAGGACTTAATCCATACAGCAGCCTGGAAAGGCTGAGGGAGATCATTGGACAAAACCCTTCCATGCTCCTTATGCTGCAGTGTGATAAATGACACCCATTTCATTCTGAATCCAAGCTTTCAAAGCTTGACATTTTGTATGTTTGTAAACACATCCCTTGATCATCAGTTAAAAGATGTTACCTTTGAGTATTTGACATGGGTCATTTTGTATCCTTTGTATCGGTGAATACTAATATGAAAGTGTGAGCTTCAATGTGAAGTCACTCTCAAATTTTATCAAACATTTTAGAAAGGAAGTTTCTGGGGAACAGGGACAGATATCCTTTTATGATTTAGGATAGTAATAGCATTAAATATCAAACCCATCTGTATTTTAACACTGTGCTCAATAGGCAGGAACAGTCTTGCCAAAACAGGAAAGCTATGTGACATATAGTGGGGAAAGATGGGAACTGGGAGATTTGGCGTAGCCCTTACTCCAAGATTTGCTTGATATATACCTTTTGCATATTTGTTCATCTCTGAACTTCTGCTAACATGTTTATAAAGCAGTATTCTGCCCCACCTCTGAGGGAAGATATACAGTTAAGCAACACATCATTCCTTCATCCTTTGAGTCCTTGGTTGCCACCAAACCATTGATTGAAAAAATAGGTAGGCTTATTATGATTTCGTCTATAATGAACATGTAAACGCTCCCTTGTCATTCCCTAAACAATATAGCATAACGATTTACATATCATTTCCTTATTCTGTAAACAGTACAGTATAATATATCCTTTAATTATTCCCTAAACTATACAGTTTGACTATATAATTTCATTATTAATAAATACAGTAGAACTATATATATCATTTGCATTATAAGTACTCTAGATATAATTTAAAGTGGATTACATGCAAATATTCTATGAGTGTGCTCAAGGTTTGGGCTCCTGGAGGGCATCTGAATACAGAGTTACAGGTGTATATGGAATCAATTTAAGGTAGGATCAGAATTCATTTGCTGCAGAGAAAATGGTTTGAGATTATACCAAAGAATAGTGATGTAAGATGCTTCCTACTTGTCTTGAACTTCCTGATTTACTACTACTGCTGCTGCTGCTGCTACTGCTATTAATACTATTACTGAATACTTTATATCAGAGTACCAAGCAGCCTTTTACCTGTTTGCTCAGTTCTCTCATGAGGAAAGACACAGGCTGTCCATGCAAGTTCCCACTCGTGGTCGTCAGTGGAGTGTTGATGTCAGTGTGCGCATCCACCCAAATGACTGCCAGATCTGTGTGGACCCTGGCGTGGCCAGAAATGCTTCCGATCGCCAGACTTTGGAAGAAAAAGTGAGAAGCAAGTTCACAATGTCATCACATAGATATCATGTGCTTAGACTAGTGTGCCTGCATGGTTTTCTTTTTAAGTCAAAGTCACTATTTCTCATGGGCCTTAGAGGTAAGCACTTGTGACAGTGCAGAAGGTACAAGATGTACTGATTCTTATTCACAAGTGATAGTTGCACTGCTAGTATTTCTAAAGTCAGCTGTTTATACAAGCATTTTGTAATGAAAATCATGAATATAGCTTACCAAAAAAAAAAGCTATTCAAGGAATTCTTGGCATTAATTTCTATCCAACGCTCAAAGTTGAGTATGCCTGAATACTTAATTTCTCTCACTGTTTTTAAACTCCAGCTCTTTTGTAATGGGGAAACATCACTCAGAAGTCCCTCTATTGCCGGTACTCTTTAACTGTCCATTCTCCTGCCATACAATCTCCTCTGACATACTTTATGGGGCCCGGGATCTTCAGAGTCCATCCCAGATACTCCAAACATCTTGCAAGAACAGAATATCTAAGGGATGTCCTGCACTGAACTTAAAAGATTATGAATTACTATAAAATTTCTGGATTGTCCCATGTGGGAACATTTAAGTATAAATTTTCAGATTCTCAAACTGGAAACGTCATGGCTCAATGTCACCTAGAGGTGTTGTTACTTCTCATTTCTTATCTTTTGGCCACTTGCCACACGTAAAATGTCCATTAAATTTTTTTTTCCTCTTGAAAAAGAAAGCAAGGCCAGCCTTTTGACTGTGGTGTTGTTACAGAAACCTTGGTAATGGTTAGCTTTCAAAGAGGAAACAGGACAGTGAAGTAATTAGGTGTTATGTCAACAGCCATAGGAATGTTTCTACTTTTTAATCTCATTAACCCTCTGGCAAAATTACATTTTAGTGTGAAGACTGAAAAGTTTCCACACACAAAACTGATCTTTGCCACATTATTTATAAGCATGAAACTTTGAAGAAAAACAACAAAACAAAACAAGGGTATGGTGAATTGGATGTGCATGCTAGTCTAACCCTGAGGAAATCTACACTGTAGATTAAGGGGGGGAAAAACCACATAGTTGGCAAATTCATCATGCATTTATGTGTTTGTGCACTTCAAAATGTTTATAACATATCCGTATAGAATAGAAAGCACATACATTGTTAGTAATCAGGTAGAATTATGGCATGAATTTCCCTAGTGCTTCATTATTAAGAAATGTAAGCCTATGATGAAATTCCATGCATTTTCTGTTGTGATAGATTTTTAAAAATAAAGTTAAGACTTCCAATAGAGATAAGCCATAAAATGATTTCTTAAAGGAGAAAATAATGATCAGTGCATTCCTGTCTACATTTTCTCTCTATGGTCTTTGTTATACTTCTCTTATTCCATTTGTACCCAGTTTTATACAGCCCCTGTACCAGACCTGTGGTCTCCACCCAGGACCACGCTGACTCTGTTATGCCTCTGAACTTCTTCCACCACACCAGCCAGCTTGCTAGTGGCTTTTCCCACAGATCTTGGATTCTTCACAATTTGAAAGGGCATGTCATTAGGAACATCATCAAAGGACAAGTCTCCGTAGTCTTTCACATCACATCCTACAAGTCAAAGTTTCAAGTTACTAAATAGAAGCTTATCATTAATCAGCCTATAAATCTACACCAATGACCAATTTCAAAATAATAAGCAAGAAATATGTCTGGAAGCACAGTAATCATTGTGAAGATAAAAACTGTGTCTGCTTTTGCCTGACATCACGCACAGTGCCCCCACAAATACTTCTCAAACCAATCCACTTAGACTAGACACAAAAATATATCACCAGTAACTCAGCTTTGACCCTAGTAGAAATTCTCTCTCCCTTTCTCTCTCTGTCAGTATATATATATGCTTTTCATCTTTCTACAATAAATGTGTTTGTAATAAGTTGTTCATATGTCCAAAAGTATACCAGAAATTGTTAATTTTTCCAAGATTAAATACACAGTATTTTCTAAGCTTTTTAACTCTGAATCAAGAATCTTGGTTTCCATCCAAGCAGTCACCTGATGATGTAGCCCAGCTTCCTATTCCGTCCATCATTCCTGCCTCAAGATGGTATCAGGAGTAAACATGTGCTTCGCACAGAGGACTACGCAAATACAGACTTTGCATGAAATTTTTATATGAAAAAAGGCAATTAAAGTTCTTAAGGATCTGGATAGACTCCCAAAAAGACCGAGAAAAAAGATTTCAAAAACTAGAGAGCTGAAAAATGTATGATATGGGATCAGCTCAGTATTCTGAACTAGTCATTGTTTATTGTATTTTTTTAAGTCTGGGTATTTTTGACTCACCTTCAAGAAATTTCACCTGATATAACATGTGACCAAACTATGCTTGCTAACTGAGGAAAAGGCCATTTACCCGTACTTTCTGTTCTCTCTTAAACGCATTCCTCCCTCCCATACTACTTCTTTCCTTCCTTCCTTCTTTTCTCCCTTCCTTCCTTCCCCTTCTCTCCTTGTGTCCTTCCCTTCTACTTCCCTTCCATTCTTCCTCCTTTTTTATGGCCTTATGCAATATAATTCTTAGTTACTAAAACTCACTTTAAGTGTGCAGCTCAAATGAGTTCTGGTATTATCTACATCTTGTATTATTACTATGGCCAACATGTAAAACATTTCCATTCCTTATAATTCCTGCCCTACTCCCGGGACTTGCTGATTTGCTTTCTTTAGCTATCCTTTGGTCTTTCTAAAAATCCAATCAATGGAGTCACATAGTTATTTGTGTCTCTCCTCTTTCACTTGGCATGCTGTTTATGCCATCAATCAGTATTTTATCCCTGTGATTGATCCAGTCCTTTCTACTGTTGAGTACTATCTCATTGTACAGATGTACCACTTTTTATTTATATTTTCACCAGTTGATGGGTCATATTGTTATGTTGTTTTACAAAAAGATGTTACCTTGCTTGTAGGATACTAACTGTAGCCCCTTTTGTTTTTCCCTTTTAATCCCTAACTCCTCTACCATCTACCAGACCCCAGTTCTTGCCTACATGGATTCTTTTTATAGCAGTTTGACAGGAAATACAGCATGCCTGAGTGCAGAAGCAGTATATTCAGCATTCTTCTCATGTTCTGCTTCTTTAACAGGATATGCTTCTGAATTTCAAAGCAGTGCACACTCCTGTTGGATGAGCATCCCATGACCTCACGAGTCTGCTCCTCCCCTATGTAAGGAGAGGGTCTCAGGCTTGACATCCTTCATCTGAAATATTACCTTCTTTGCTAAGTTTCTCCAGAAGACCAGCATTTCTCATTGCTTCAGGGCCCTTTTCCACCCCTCCTCGTGGCTGAACAAGGGAAAAAGACAGTACTTCAGTCATCATGGCTATCAAATCGTAACTGTGATTTCTTCAGCTACCACAAAGCCAGAGATTTCTATTCCTCCATTTAATTTTCACAGTGAGGTACATTGAATTACTCCTGTGCCACAATAGAAGGATTTAGATTCGTAAAGTGACTTAATTTTCCATGTCTTTGAATTTCAAAACCTGCATCCCTTCTTTCCATCATACCATGTTGCCCCCTCCCACCCAGGGTAAACAACAAAACATGCTGACAGAGATAGAATCATGAAATGAAAAGGTCCTGTCTTTGAGTCACTGGTAAACAGATAGAAAATTTGGATATTTAACCTCAATTTTATAACATGTCATACACACACACACACACACACACACACACACACACACACACACTCGTGCGCTTCCCCCCCCCACACACACACGTATACACACACAGAAATAGAATGCTTCTAATTCAGCCTAGCAGAGATGTGTAAGCAAAGGCTGCCTGGAACAGCTGATCTTTGAGCAGAATCTTGCAGCATGAGTAGGGAGTCAGAGAGGCCCGAGGAGATGATGATGGAGAAACCTTACAAATAATCAGCAGAACAGTCTGGACACGGGAATCTGCAGGGAAAAAACATGGCCCGAAGAAACCATATGCAAATCCTCCCAGAAATAAGTTAGGACTCTTGGGGAGAAAGAGGCAACAGAGAAGTTGTCACCTGGGAACTGAAACTACAAACAAAGCCCAGCCCAGTCCCATCAAGTTCTGACCTACTTAAACAGGCCATGAGAAATTCTACCTGTGCTGAGCAGCTATCTGGTAAACAAATACTCTTCTTCCATGTATGTCTTCCCCCAGCCTCCCTGACTGATACAGGTCTAAAGAGGTCTTTATCTTTCTGAACCTAATTCCCGACAGGGCTTTAACATATAAAACTACTTCCTTATGTCAGATGAAAAGCATGGACAGACATGTGTATATGCCAAGGATTGGAGCTGTGGTTTCCCAGCCAAATAACAGATGACTGGGAAAATCTCAACGGGACCTGGAAAATGCTCAGTGTTAAATTCCACATCTGGCTACAAGACCACCTATGTATGTTCCATAACACATTCTGGTCCTTTATGCCATTCTTTATTAAAGTTTTTTTTATTTTTTGATTGACCATAATGTTTGTATATATTTATGAGCAAAAGTATGTGCCTTGATTCCTGAATATATTGGATAATGATCAACTCAGAGTAATTAGCTTATCAATCATCTTTAACATCAATTATTTTTCTATAGTGAGTACATCAAAATCCTCTCCTGTAACTACCTTGAAATATGCAGTGCATCTGTGTTCATTGTATTAACCCTGTGCATGTATTTAATCAGAACTGATTCCTTTTCGCTATGGCAGTGTGGTTGGCCAACCTCTTCCCATCCCATCTAGTAGATTTCGATCAAAACTTTAGATCAATCCATGTAGGACTGAAATATAGGAGAAACTTAAAAACCATGATTTAATAAAAACTCCCTAGCCATTTTTCCCTCTCCTGCAGATGTTAGAACAAATCTCCTAGACTCTTTAGTGAGCATTGTATTTTCTATTAGAGACTCATTGAATTTCTCAGTGGACTTTTTTTTTCTAGCATTCTTCATTTGTTTGATTAACAACTCCTCCTCCTCCCCCTCCTCCTCCTCCTCTTCCTCCTCCTCCTCTCCTCCTTCTCCTCCTCCTC